TGTAATGAAGTGTTTCAGTTTCCAACTCTAACCATCAGCCCTCTCTAGGAACAACCAATGCTGTAGCAAGCACAAAAAACATGTGTTTGCAATGGTAAGTGAACAACATCTTTGCCATGAACACTTTCTTGAGCATGACGATCACCCCAGAACAACCCATTATCAAGCGAAGTGATAATATCTGGGCACAAAAGGCATTTTCTGGAAGCGTGACAGGTGTGAGGTGTCTTGTGTCTTTTCCTTCATCCATCCAAATTCCTCTGGGTCTCCACAGAGGGGTTGTTTTCTGGACGTGATCGCCAAGGAATGGCCTTGTAGATGTGCACGTTTTACATTCGTTAAGAATGCGTCAGTCGCTAGGTGGCAGTGAACATAAGTTTGGGAGACGAGGTGAACGCCCTTGCCATTTTTAAGCAGCCCAAAGCTGAATGCGAACCTGTTGACATGTCCACAGCATTTTTCTTGCCATAGCAGCTGATACGAATGTTGTGGGCTTGGTTGTAGACATCAGCAGTTCAGCAGTTACGTCACAACTGCAGACAAGGGTGTGGCCAGCCCTAGAGGACTCTGATTACAGTTCCTTTACACACTTCCGAAGTATGTGGCAACGCGTTGTCGCAACTTAGAAAGGTGTGTGAGCTTGAAGGAGGATTTTTTGATGTCAATGTCACCCATGTCACCAATTGACCAATTGTCAGAATCAGCAAGTTCGTACCTTTCACTGGGATTCCATGATGGACTGGGACTTGAGGTCACTTCGTATCAATCATAATAGTAGACTAGTAGGACAAACACATCTGTGTCATCAGACATGCCTGTAATGATTTCCCTTCTCTACTGCACCGCAATAACCTGTAGACAATAATATTGTCCGCTTCCTCATGGGTCGTTGTGACGGTCATGACGTCTTTGATCCCATTTTGAATTTTCAAGTGGAGTGTTGCTTTCCGCTATGATAACTGCTTGTGTATGCCGTGCTGTGTTGTGTGGAAATCCTGCATGTCCTGAGACAGTCATCATAGCGATATCTGGGATGCATCTGCTTCTTGTTTATCAGCTGACAGTCATGCCAAACTTTTTGGGCTGGAAAGGGTCTGTCTTAAGCTTGAGATGGAAGACTCTACGCGCCGGACCCTCTCTTCCTCCCTGGCCACAGATTTCTGCTAAAAATCTCTGTAATGGGTCGGAATCACTAGCGTACACCTGCATAATCCCTTCAAGGAGTCTCTTGAATAGCGCTTCTTCACATTTGAAACATAAATGCCTCACTTGTACGCAGCCTCGGCCAGTGCCATCACCCAAAGAAAAAGCAGAACCGTCTATCACCATCACATCAGTCATGCTGTTTCTACTCGACTTCTACTTGGAGACTCTTCTTAGCTGTGACTTGTTTGTGGCAATCCTCCATCCATCGTGGGTAAACATCGATGTTGGCAGCTGGTGCAAGTTCATGGAGAGAACATGCTTGATATCAATATCCGCGAACTGGATTAACAGACCAATGACCCGTGCATAAATGCATTTAAGTCCGTAATCTTGTTGTCCCCAATGGATACCCCCTGCTCTCCTCACATCATTGTAACAACCTTCTGGAATGGTTTCCATAAAACCCGTACTGGCCTTTTGTTTCAAATTCCTCCATCTGTTTCGTTCCAATATGAACGGACGGGTTCTGGACATTGACCTCAGACTTTGTCAATTTGCCAGTTAATTTACGATATTCACTATCCTTCGGGTGGTTTGCAGGGTCCATGGGTAATGCACATCTCTAGCTTTCTGCGGATAACAATGTTTTGTGGCTTGCTACAGCATTGATTGTTCTAGAGAGGGCTGATGGTTAGAGTTGGAACTGAAACACTTCTTACAAAAATGGGACTACCATATTCTTTATTTTCGCCTGAGAACAATAGTAGACGAGTGCCAACATTTGACACAGAGCATGCCTAGTTTATGAAAAGATTAAGTATAATGAGATTTTTTTTGTTTTTTAAACGAAATATAATGGAGCTACCTATGGGCTGGTTATTTAAAATGATGGCAGTCAGTTCATCGAAACAACTGACTGCAGTTAACTGTGTACTTGTATGACCTTTGACCTGTAAGTTTTGGGCAAAATATGCCTCAATCTAGACTAAGCCTCTGACTTTCCCCATTGCAAAATGTGGTGGAGCAATGGTTGCTCTAGATCGACAGATCTGATTACTGTAAGCGTTATCAACTTTTGCGTAATATAAACAGCTATTTTAGCACATCACTGTTCTTTCTTTTGTAATAGGTTGGTCAACATTCAACATATTTAAACATGGGCGGTTTAAAATGATGCAGGGCATCTCCTTGAACAAATTTTAGGGGTAAAAGCACCATTAGAGCCTGTTCTTGGGCCAAGGCAGCGGGTGCTAAAAGCATATTTCAAGATTTCGAGGAAGCGTCAAAAATTGTGACCTTTTGACCTCTAGTGACCTCATTATTCAACTATCATTAGAAAGAGCTCTCACAATACAACATGTTGAGTGGTCACTTGATCCATTAGCTTTAAAAACAACAGATCTAGTGACTTTTTGTTTTCCCCACCCCTAATTTTTCGCCATTTTTTGAGTTGACGCTCTCAACACAAAAGGGTTAATACAGAAAGTTGCTCAAGGGTGACGGGTGGTCATCACCTAGAAGTTGAAGACCAACACCTAGTCTACAAGAATCAGCAAAGAAAAAAACTTTAACTCTCAGTGCAGGGTTCCGCCCAATAACGGGGTTTGGCTCCCGACTATAAGCTTATCAGGGGCGTGTACAGGATTTGTTCCAGGGGGGGGGGGGTCTAACCGTAACCCAAACTTGCAAGCAGCGCGTAAGGAGGTCTGGGGAAATTTTTTTAATTGGACCCCCTTGATGCGTTTTCGCACGCAGCAGGGGGGGGGGTCCGGACCCCCTGTACACGCCCCTGCTTATCCCTAGCACGCACCAGCAACGATCCCACGAACCCGCATGCTGCTAACCATGTGTTTATCCTTCACCAGGGAGCGTCAGAGAAGGACATAGTTCACTCTGGGCTGGCGTACACGATGGAGCGATCGGCGCGCGCGATCATGCGGACTGCTATGAAGCACAACCTCGGGCTGGACCTGCGCACTGCCGCCTACATCAATGCCATCGAGAAGATCTACAAGAACTACCGCGAGGCCGGATTTACCTTCACATAGAGCCCTGCTTCCCTGGTCCGCAGCTTCATCTAGCGATGGCTTCATCTAGCAATGGCTTCATCTAGCACTGGTTACATCTATCACTGGTTACATCTATCACTGGTTACATCTATCACTGGTTACATCTATCACTGGTTACATCTATCACTGGTTACATCTAGCGATGGCTTCATCTAGCGATGGCTTCATTTAGCACTGGTTACATCTAGCGATGGCTTCATCTAGCAATGGCTTCATCTATCACTGGTTACATCTAGCGATGGCTTCATCTAGCAATGGCTTCATCTATCACTGGTTACATCTAGCACCTATAGCCTGTCTTCATGTTCATCTAAAGCCTTATCACATTTATCTAGACCTGGGAGACGTTATCAGAAGCATCCAGTAGTTCCATGATAAGTACTAACACATGGGCAACGCTACAACTTAACGTACTGTGCAACATATGTACAAATTACTACTAAAATGGTTCTGATAGCGCCCCCCTCACTTCATAATCGTCCAGCGCCCGAGTCAGTCACATTTATTTAGCTATAGCTTTGTATTTAATTAGGTCAATATGCACATTCAATTGGAACATGATATGTAGTAATTTTAGTTACTCAGCCGGTCACGTTCGTCTAGTCGAAGACTACCTGGGGAGGAATCAATCAGACATTCATCCCCCAAATAGTTAATATCTTTCAAAAAGCAAAGCTGTCCAGGCAAACAGTATTGTTTCTATACATGGCAAGCCATTCCATGCGGGCGCATATGCTTGCAGCGAGTACTATGAATGTTTCTATAAAATAGATCTAGTACGAGCGAGATAGTTTTATGCACACCTGTGATCTTATTTTAACGACTCGCATCTTGTTTCGATGTCAGTCTATGTTTTGTCAAAGAAGGCAGCACGCTTGATGTTTGGGAAAAATTGTTGGAAAAATATGAAAACTATTCAAGTATTACTGGTTTACAATATGTAACCATTTTGATTTTAAATAAGTTGATTTTTTTTCTTGATGCTAGAATTGACACTGCAATTTTTTTTAAATGTAAGACAATCAGTTTATTAATTAAAACACATTCACTCTGTGCATACTCATTATCAGGAGTTAATGAGCAAATCCAATTTTATACATGACATGTCAGAGTCCCTGGCAGACGTCGGGAATGTTTTGTTATAGTTGAAAAGTAACGATATTTAATAAAAAATATCAGTGTTTTGTTACATCTGATCTCTTGTTGATTGGAATCTCTCGATGCTGTACTGTAGTGATCGGAAATTCAGAAACTCAAAAAGTAGCATGTTGTCCCGTCTTTCATAATGAATGACAAATTAATGGCCTCTTGGATTTCTATGGATGGATAGAGAACTGAGGTGATTGCTGCAAACTATATAGGTGAAATTCTATATACTAGCTGAGAGTTTGTTTGCCGAAAATTTCTTAGACTCCAACCCTCTGCCCCGTTGGCTATTGACAGTGATTGTATAGAAGGCTGTAAAACGACATAATTAAATTCATATGAATATGAATATATCGATGATATATTCAAATGTGACTACGTTTTTTGACATTTGAAACTTCGACATAAATCCTCTAATTGCTTTTTAGCTCATCTGACATAGTCAGATGCAGCTTGTAGAATCGCTTGATCGTCCGTCCGATCGTCCGATCGTCCGTGCGTCCGTCCGTCCGGGCGTCAACAGTTGGGCACAAATCTTAACCGCTCGACGTACGGTCACGATATTCGGGAAGTGGGGGGGTAATCCGAAAACGAGTTGGGATGTCGAAGCTGGGGGTCAAAGGTCAAAGGTCAAGAGGTGTAAAAGAAGGGGGAACATTCACTCCTTAACTTAAGGTA